CAAATAAAAAAGAAAAAAAAAGGAAAAAATTTCTCTCCGTGCACGGAGAGAACCTCTCCATCCACCCACGGAGGGATTTCTCCGTACAACCCAATTTTTACAATTTTATTTGTACATTTTGTAAATAAAGTTTTTAATTTAAAAAAATATTTTTTATTATTTTCTATGAGTATATATATATATATATATATATATATATATATATATATATATATATATATAAATATATACTACTTATAAAAAGGAGAATGTGAAATTACTGTAGAAATCAAAAGTGAATTTTTCCATTTTATCTCATTGTAGCAATTTTATTTTTTTATTGTGGGAGCAAAAACGACGTCGTTTTGTCCTCAATTATTTTTCTATTTTCACACGCCACTTTATTACAACCATCACCTCCACTGCAGTATTTCTCCATTTCACACACTACTTCACCTCTCCAATCCAACTGATAAAAGAAACAAACTGAATGATTAACAATTAAAAAATAATAATTACATGCAAAAATAAAAAGGAACAAAAAAATGATTATAAATAATTAAAATTAAAAATAAATATTATTTAATTAAAATTGAAAAATTACATTTTATCATAAAACAAAAAGAATTAAAAAGAATTTTAAATCGAAAAAAATCATTTATTATGAGAAAAGAATTAAAAGGAATTTTAAATTGAAAAAAAATATTTATAATGTAAACAAAATAAATAAAAAAAAGAGGAAAAAAATGTCCATCTCTCCATGATTTTTTAATTAAAAAAAATGTCTGTTTCTCCTTGCACGGAGAGATTTTTCTCCTTGCCATGTGTGTGTGGATGGAGAGCACACAGTGGGATGGAGAGTTCTTTCCATCCCACATTTTTTTTTCATTTTGTTTTGTTCTTATTGCAAAATAAATAAATAAATAAATAAATAAATAAAATATAATCGATTTGATAATTCTTTTTAATTCTTTTGTTTTTACGATAAAACTTAATTTTTTTAATTTTAATTAAGTAATATTTATATATTCTTTATTGAAATTTTGTAACTTTCTTTTATTTTTTTATTAAATTTTTTAAAATTGTTTTAAATTTTTTTTTGTATTATAAATAATTTTTTGTTGGATTTAAAATTCTTTTGAATTCTTTTTGTATCATGATAAAATGTAATTTTTAAAATTTTAATTAAATAATATTTATTTTTAATTTTAGTTATGTCAATTTAATTTAAAAACTTTATAATAACTTTTTTTTGTTTCTTTTTATTTTTGTCTGTCATTTTTATTGTTGTTTAATTTGTTAAATCATTCAATTTCTTTTTTTTTAATCAGTTGGATTGTCACATTTCTAGTTAAATTTGACTAAAATTTCATAAAAAATGGATAACCTCAAAATTTCTACAAAACTCGAGAAATTGGAGTTGAGAAAAGAGAAAATAAAAAATTCTACCACCATGTGCTATGTGTTCCACTCCGCGTACAAAGTGTTGTACAAAGAATTGAAAATAATTTTAAATCGAAATAAATTATTTATAATATTAAGAAAAAAGAAATTTTAAAACAATTTTCAAAAAAATTAATAAAAATAAAATAAAAGAAAGTCATGAAAATTAAATAAAGAATATATAAATATCATTTAGTTAAAAGTGAAAAATTAAGTTTTATCATCAAGAGAAAAGAATTAAAAAAAATTTTAAATTGAAAAAAAAATTATTTATAATGTAAACAAAACAAATAAAAAAAGAAAAAAAAAGGAAAAAAAATTCTCTCCATGCATGGAGAGAACCTCTACATCCACCCATGGAGGGATTTCTCCATACATCCCACTTTTTACTTCTTTTTTTTTTTTTTGTACATTTTGTAAATAAATTTTTTAATTTAAAAAAAATCTTTTTTATTCTTTTCTTTTTATAATAAAACTTAATTTTTTTAATTTTAACTAAACAATACTTATATATTAATTCTTTCTTTAATTTTCATAACTTTCTTTTATTTTGTTTTTATTTTTTTTATAATAACTTTTTTTTTGTTTCTTTTCATTTTTGTTATGTAATTTTTTTCTATTTTTTCTGCAATTCTTTTTTTTTTTGTTCTCTAATTTGTTAAATCATTTAGTTTGTGACACAAATATTTCTCATTTTCAAAAACTTCAATTTTTTTTTCTAAATTCTATACATTTCATACTAATAATAACATAATAAATACAATACTCGTGCAACGCACGAAACGAAGGCTAGTATATATAGAAAAACCAAAGACTAACGAATTGGATTTAGGCTTATAAATACGAGAATGGGAAATAAATCAAATAAACAATAGTCCCTTTTTAAAGGAAATTCATCTTGTATTTTGTATGCAGAAGGAGATGATGAAAACCAGATAATAGAATATTAATTTTTATTTTTGTTCAAACTTAACATAAAGTGAAAATGGGGGTGAGATTTTTATGTATATTTAATTATTCTTATATGATTGTGTCCTTTTTATTAATTTTAAGTTTCTCCAGTATTTTAACTACAATTTACTTTTTATTTCTAAAATAGAATTTTGCTTAATCAAATAAAAAGTAAAAGAGTACACCCAAACAATTAAAGAAAGTAAGCTCCTCTATTGGTTAAAATTTGGGCAGTTTATTTCTACTTTCACACAATTCACAGGGGTCAACAAGCAATCGATATTACGCTATCGATGGTGACCATAGTCTTCAACTACCGCCCTTACCTCTCGTCTACTATACAAATTCGGTCTCTATCTCCCTCTAGCTCCTATATATTCTACCAAAATCGTATTACGTGAGTTTATTTAGATCTATGATATATACTATAAACCTCATTCAATATATTTTTTTTTAATTTAATTTCAATTTATATCACTTCTATTTAATTATAACTATATATTCAAAGAAAGATATAAAGTATGTTTTATGTAAGTTTTTTGAGAATATATTTTATAAAAAATTATATTTTTGGAGGCGTACGGTTAAAAACTTTCCTTCTAATATTTTTTCTTACTCTACTTGTCTCTTTCTCTCTATCTCTTTCATGTTTTCGTGTAGTCTCTTTTTCTTACTCAATATCACGTTTGAGAATATTAATGTTGAATCAATTGCTTGTTTGAATATTTTGGATTCTAATATAATTTCAATTTTAATGTTCTATTTTAAAAATGTCCACATTGTTAGAAAGCATAATTCAAATCCTCCTCGACAATTGATTTATTTAAAATAACCTGGAATTTTCACTTTGACAACACACACACACACACATATTTGAGCTGCCCACGTTAGGGAATTAAGCAACAATCTTGATGGCGTGGAAGTCAGTTCCCCTTTTTTAAGTTCGCTGGCAAAAGCTGATTATGGTTGTCTTTGTCTTACAACATAGGCTGAAGATCGTTCTTGTTTGTTTAATATATATATATATATATATATATTTTTTATTTTTTTTTATATCCAGGTATCCCAACTTACACCAAACTAAATTCTGAACCCTCAAGACCCTTGTCCCTAGAACCTTGGAGGGGGTAAATCGCGAGTTATGCCTCAATTGGATTACAGGTTCCCCTCATTGACTATGCACTTCTGCGCACAAAAGACCCTCCTCCACAGTGAGTGCTCCATACCAAATATTTGGCCGCAGATTCCCACCAAGAATCGAACTCTCCACCCTACCGCTGGAAGCAGAACAATGTTGATTGATCCACCAGTTGAGCTGTGCCCGGGGGGCTTGTTCGTTTAATATTTTATTTTTACTAAACCATGTGTAATGTAAGAATATTCTTGTTTGCTTAATATATTCTTGTTATAATTATATTTATCTAAATTTTCAATACCAAGTTTAAATTATAATTTCTAAATATGAATGTTTGAATATTATTAATATATTATCAATATCACTACAAGAAAAAATACGCTTTTATTGACCAAAAAATTTATAGTTGAAAATCATTATTTATGTTTTAATGATCAAAATAGTATCGTCATTGGCTTGTCATAATTAAAGCCTCGCCATAGAATGTCTTTAACAAGTTGATCAGAAATTTGACTATTAAATTTTTTTCTTGATTTCAAATGAAGAAAAAGAGATGGTCATAATTACTTTCGACAACGAAAGTTCACTAACTTCTTCGTCTTTAAGTATCACTTACTCAACGAAGAAAAAGATGATTGTAAAAACTTCTTTTAACAACAAAATTTGACAAATTTATTCATCATTAAATATCACTTATATATATAAATTTATTCGTCGTTACGTGTCAATGCCTTAAACGATAAAATCAACTTAACTGAAATGTCAAAAAAAAAACACACACACACACACACAGAGATCAATCAGAAATATGTGAAACAGACAATTGAATGAAAAATCCAACTTTTGAAAACTATAATACTCATTCTTCACTTGAAGCCTGATGTTGCTCGGGTGGAAAGAATATTTCTCACAGTTCTTTCTCATTGTTTTTAGCTCACTGGTAAGGGATAAATTTCACATTTATAAAATATTGAAATATAGATCAGCATATGAGAGTTTGGTTGACTTTTTAAGATGGAATTACAAGTTTTAATATGGTATCAAAGTCCATTAAATTTCAAATGAGTAATGTGATCCGATTAAAACTCAAAAGCAAACACACGAATTTTAAAATTGAAGGAGATACATCTATTTATTATTTCTCTTTAGTCCTTCCTAAATAATTTTAATTTTACTAAGTCCTCTGTAAGAACGGTCAGATTAGATCCTAATTCCTCTATTAATTAATTACAAGTAATTAACTTGTGTCCGATAATATTTCATAAAGCAAATTTCCTATGTTGCAATAATCAATTGCTAATTTCTTCGACATATTTAGTCTTGTAATTATACGAAGTTCAAAATTCATGTAAATCCATCACCCAATTTAACTAA